AAAGTAGAAGTACTCAGATCTTGTACTTGAGTAAAAGTAGAAGTACCAGAGTGTAGGAATACTCTGTTACAGTAAAAGTCCTGCATTCAAAATGTTCCTCAAGTAAAAGTAGAAAAGTATTATCATCAAAATATAGTGAAAGTAGCGACAGTAAAAGTAGTCATTCTGCAAATGGAAATACTCAAGTAAAATACAAGTACCTCAACATTTTACTCTAGTACGTTACCTGAGTAAATGTACTTCCTCCGGATATAAAGTAATACGAAATACAGTTTCATATATCAGATTAAATATGTATTATTAGTTTGGATTACCTTTTTATCCATAATGTTTTTAATAGTGCTGGTATATTGTTTTACTTCTTGGTCAAAATGTGGTTTGGAGTCAGCCCACTTTAAAACAAATCAATATGTAATGTCTCTATTATAAATTCAGTGTACAAAAAACACACATTCTGCGTCCATAGTGGAGTGGTACTTTCTTTATAAAATACTCTACCCCATGGATTATTACAGGTAGACGTACTGATTGTATTTTCTTCATGGTTAATATTTACTTCTTTAATTCTTCCTTATTTAAAATGTCTTTTGCATCTTTGTAAATGTCCCTATTATAAATTAACTGTACAAAATAAACCAACATCTGCTCCACACTGATCCTGGAGTATTACTTTCTTTTTGAATAGAATACTCTTCCCCATCAATCACACATTGTACACTCACCCCCTCCTTCCTCACTCATTACGCAACTCTCTCCCGGTGCTCGGTTGTGTTTCACTGGTAGACTGTTGCATAGACATACATGGACGGTACTGTCCGTGACGTCACCCTCCGGATTCTGGTTTCACAATCCAATCCAATACAAAGGGGATTTATTGGCGTGACCACATTTTAAGCATTCCGCACAAGGGGTTATAACAGAACACAACAAAAATCAACACTATGCATAAATGTCAACAATACATGTCACAAAATATACTGTATATGCCAACCACATGCAAATACAAATATATACATATTAGTACATAAATAAAAAGTGTGTGTGTGTGTTGTGTGTGTGTGAGCTGTCATACAAATCTCTCTGAGTCTATCAGTGCTGTGTGTGTGTGTGTGTGTGTGTGTGCGTGCGTGCGTGCGTGGGTGTTTCACCTTGACGGGTGACACTGCTGCAGTACCGCGCGCCACCGAGCAAGAAGAGAAGAGGGGAGGAAATGCGCTCGTGGGGGTGGAGTGAGGGATGTGTTGTTTCCTCCTCACGCAGCACAGCTCTCTTTCAGTCGGCATCCTGCAGCCTCACCATGGCTGTCAACATCCCCGGCGTGGCCGTCATGATGTTCTTCTACCTGCTGGTGCTCGGCATCGGGATCTGGGCTTCCTTCAAGTCCAAACGGGAGGCCAAGAAGGGCACGGGGGATAAAACGGAGATGGCTCTGCTGGGGAACCGGGGCATCAACCTGGTTGTCGGCATCTTCACCATGACAGGCGAGTACCGGGAGGAAAAAACGCACGCTTTTTGGATGAGAAACGCAACAAAAAAACGATGATTCTTCGCCTTAATTCCATCCGTCTATATCAAAATCGGTTTTTATTACCAAATACACATACGGGGATTTCCCCTTTGTATGTGCGATGCGTAAAAAAAGACAAAGACACATGAATACGTCGATATATTAAATACAAATAGTGCTGTTATAATATATTAAAATACAGCATATGGCGATACTGTGATTCCCATTGTTCAGCACACCCCCCCCTGTTGAGGGTAAATGTGGATTAATCCAATAGAACATACAGAGCGCATGGCATGCTCCATCTTTATTATAGGTGGGTTACACAGTGTGAAACCGAGGCTTAGATACAAATGCCTTTTTTGGATTATATTGGAACAAACGAAACGTGTGTGAAAAGCAGGAAGTTAATGTAGCTTATGCGAGCCGAGTCAGGGTGGAATAAAAGAGGAAACAGATTTTGTATTGCATTTTTTCTCACCCATGACAGTAGCATGTTGAGCAGTATTGCCTCTCAATAGCTGCTACGATGGGTGGGTTTAAAGCCATTACAATCATTACAGTGAATTATTATTATATTATTTTTAAATAAATGGTTTGAATACCAGGAAGTGAATGTAGCTTAAACAAGCTAAGTCAGTGTGAAATAAAAGAAGGAAATATATGTTTTAACGTGTTTTTTAATGCATGATGTGTTGTGTAATAATGCCTGCTCCCCTCACAAACCACTAGCTGCCATGATGGATGGTTTTACAGTCATTACATTTACAGTCAATTATTATTATATTGTTTTAAATAAATGGGTTTAATACCAGGAAGTGAATGTAGGGAAGTCAGTGTGAAATTAAAAAGGAAATATATGTGTTAATGTATTTTTTAATCCATGACGTGTTGCCTGCTCCCCTCACAAATCACTAGCTGCCATGACGGGTTGTATTAAAGTAATTGCTCATTACGTTTACAGTAAATTCCCATTTCGATGCAATCACCTGAGCTACACTAGACTGCAGGGTTCCTGTTCTCAGGTTACATGAACACAGTATCGTCCTGGGTGTGTTTTCTGCCCGTATGTGACTGTGTTTGTGTGCAAAACAGCTACGTGGGTCGGAGGAGGCTTCATCGTGGGCACAGCTGAGGCCGTCTATAACCCCTCGATGGGACTCATCTGGGCCGTGATGCCCGTCGCTGCCACCATGTGCTTCGTCATAGGTGAGCCTTCATTGTCCTGTTGCAGTGTGAGGAGGAAACCAGTGGCCCCGTGTCCGCGAGGCTGTGGAGCTCATTAGACACACACACACACACACACACACACACACACACACACACACACACACACACACACACACACACACACACACACACACACACACA